TCACTCTTAGCCTAAGAGCACTGCAGGCTTAAATGGGGTGTAAGGGATCAAGAAACAATTGCTGAGCTCACTAGGTCAGGGCTGTTTGAAGCCATGGCCAGCATGCCATCTGCAGTGTCTAACTTCTTCAAGAAGTTACTGATGAATAAAAGTGATACAACTCATCCACATTAGGAATGGAGAGTGTGGAATGATGGATTGCAGAAAGAGGAGGATTAGAATAAAGGATTTAGAATGAGCTCACAAGGTTGATAGAGTGGATAGTCTAGAGGAAAAATTATTTGTCAGTAATGTGAAGTATTGGATAAGTAGTAGTGAGGGTGACTGTTGATTCACTCCTGTACCTGACCACCACATGAACAAACTCTTGCTTGAAGGGGTAGAGATGACTGCTTTTAAATCATCTTTTTCCTGCAGCTACAATGGGGCCAAGATGCCGTGAAGTCTTAGGAGTATTAAAGGCAGAAGTTGTGCTAAGAAAGAAAGGCAGCTCAGAAAATCCAAGCCAGGTGACTTTGAATAACAGGGAGAAGTCCTGTGACCCCAGCAGTATTAAAACCGAGCTCTGAGAAAGGCTTCTTTTCCTACTGAAGTAAAGAGAAATAATGACAAGTTGATTTATTAACAGGAATTTGCACAGTTCAGATATGAATGGGCTGGTCCAAAAGGCTTTGGATGCTTCAAACGTCTATGAAAACATTGCCAATTATATTAGTGAAGCCAGTGAATCAGCAGAATTGGCTTTGAACATCACTGACCGAATTTACGATGTGAGTATTACTTGATTTTAGAATTCATTTATATGTTGCCTTTCCCTAATGTCATTTTTTGAGCTTCTGATATAAATAACAGGAAGGGCAGGAGAACTAAGATAATTTTACTTATGTTATGAGCTATTGCAAGTTCTTTAAAATGTACCACATTCCAGGTATTAAATGTCAAAGTCTTTTGAAGCTTTTTAAAGCCAAAGCTGAAAACTATTTCCTGCTGATAGACAAGATACTTTATGCATTCACTCAAATTTTTTCAACCCCCAAATTATTTACTGAATGGCTTCTACATGACAAGTACTATTGTGGGTCCTTGGCCAGTATTGTTCTAAGCTCACTGACTTTTCCTCAAAATAACGTCAATTTTGAAAATGCCAAGGTCATTTTTCCTTTGTGTTCACATTTGACCTTGATTGCTGAGCTATGAAAAAGCAGCTGTATGAATTTTGCTCTGGTGTTTAATACATAAACTGTCATTTAATCCAGAAATCATTAAAAAATTGATTTCTTCTGTCAATCTTATTCTTTCTGTATCCAATTCCTTTGTAGGCTGTGAGTGGGATTGATACTCAAATCATTTACCACAAAGATGAAAGCGAGAACCTCCTCCATCAAGCCAGAGAACTGCAAGAAAGAGCTGATTCTAGTAAGTATCCTCACTCACCTACCCCCCTGATCACATATATCTACTGCCTTTCACACTGTACTTCTGCATGGAGATAGTATTCAATTCTAGGATTAAGGAACAAATGGTACTTCTATTGAATCATATGTTAATAGTCTCTGTTCGCTTATAGCATATTAAAAAAAGCAACAATTGGATACGTTTAAGTAAAGTGTGTTCATATACAACATTTTCATGTGCTGAAATAATATGGAGACGCAAACTTATTCAAGATATGGTGAATAGTCTTGTGCATTAAATTGACAAATTCCTCATAATTTCCAATAAATATCAACTTTTAAAAAGATAATGCCATAAAATACATTAAATACTAAAACTATAATACATATAATTAAATTTTTCTTACAAAATTCAGAAAGTCCTTTAAATTTTTACCTTTAAGGGGTAGGTCCTCTCTGTGAGAATCAGGTCATTGTGCCACAGAGCCTTCTGGTTATTTGCATTTTCTTGTGGTTGGTATTCTACATTGTTTATTGTGGTCAGTCCAATCTAATAACCATAGGTGTAGAAATCTTTCCAAAAGCCAGTTTTTTGTACCTGCTGAAGGAAGATTATCTTACAATGAGAGGAAGGAAGATTATCTTACAGTGAGAGTGAAGAAAAAAAGTCAAATCATTTTATTCAATTTTTAATCTTATGAATTATTATTAAAAACAATTGAATGAGGCCCTCCCTGGTGGCGCAGCTGGTTAAAGCACAGCACTGAGAAGCTAAAGCCACTTCCGCATGAGTTCGATTCCCGCCTGCCCCGGAGGTGACCACATGACAGGGCAGACCTCTCCTGACCCACCCGCTGCTCCCCTCAGCAGTGTACTTAGTCGATCTGCCTGTTATGCTCCCCACTCTGTCTCTGGTGAAGCCTCTTGCTGCCCCTGAGCCTCTGGCCTGTACCCCACTTCTGTATGCGCAAATAAATAAAAATCTTTAAAAAAAAAAAACACAATTGAATGAACTAAGAATTTCACCCAGCACTGCTTATTGCTGAGCTGATAGCTTATTTTTAAGGATAGTCAGGTATTGACTAATAAGATTTCAAATCCACTATGTAGGTAACTATCCCCTAAAGGCAAAGGTCAAGTTGAAAACTAAAAACTTCAAATAATTTCATCAAAGCATTTAATCTCAAATCTAACCATCTGTTTACTTTTAAAAGTCACTATATAGACAAGAAATGCAGTGTGTTTTCCATATGCAGGATATTTAAGTAATTACATAAAGCAACTATGTTTTATATTTTCTGGATAAACAAAGGCAATAAAATGCTATTTAGCTTCTCTACCCTAATTAACTTATATGTCTAATCAGTTAATTATATTAGTCTAATTTCAACAGTCTTTAGAAAAGAAATAGGAAATTAGCAATACAGAATTAGCATACTAATTTAAAAAGAAAATATTTTTAAATAAGTGCTGTCATATTTATGTACTGATGTGAAGACCAAATATTTGGGTCTTCATGACACAGCGACTTATACACTTTATTCTCCTTGATCATTTGTAATGTGTTTTCTCAGTCTTGTCATTATAAAGTTATTAAGCCTCATGAAAACAACTTTTCTATTCAGGTAATTAATGAAAGTTCTTCGAAGCTTCCTATTTTATGTGAGATAAGTCTCCCTGAATATTTTGCACAGCTGATCATTATTTTATGATCTTGTTCAGTTAAATTCTTTCATATACTTTCAGCAAAAGGAACCTCAGTAGGGTGTTAGAACTGTGGGACCGGGCGCTACCTGGTGGTGCAGTGGGTTAAAGCACAGCACTAAGAAGCTGGCCTCAGCCACCTTGGTGCAAGTTCGATCCCTGGCCCCAGAGGTGATCCACATGGCACAGCAGACCTCTCCTGACAAACCTGCTGCTCCCCTCAGCAGTGTACTTCATCGATCTGCCTGTTCTGCTCCCCACTCTGTCTCTGGTGAATCCTCTCACAGCCCCTGCACCTCTGGCCTTACCCAGTTCTGTATGCACAAATAAATAAATCTCCCTGGACTTTCTTCTCCTTAGTCATGCACATGCTTACGATAAGAATTCAGATTTTCAATTTGAGTCATATGCATCTACTGGATTACATTATAATTTCAGATTACTGTTAATTGAACTACATTGTAATAAAATTTCATATTACTATTAATTCATTTCCAAATAACTTCCCATTACCAGCAACCTTTACTACCTAAGTTGGCTTGTCTTCATTATCTATATCAAATATTTAACAATCTATAATAAATTCAGGAAACTCTGATTTAAAGGAAACTGTCTAAGAATAAAATCTGATGAACTATAAGATCTCTGTACATAAAGTTGTAATGCATAACTGAAAGAAATTAAATATCATCTAAATAAAGATGAAAATTTAGATCTAAAGAAGAATAAAAACTGTATTACATAAAAGACACAAATTTATAAAAATGATAATTCTCCCAAATTTTTCTATAGGACTCAATGTGATATCAATTGAAGTGTCAGAACTCTATGTACCTATACAGGATAATTCTAGAAATTCTGTGAAAATGGGTCAGGCAAGCATAGTCAATAAAAGGATAAATATAAAGCTACGGGGCTTTTTTGTTGTTCCGGGGTTTAAAATCTCAGTACTACCAAACTATCACCAGTAACTGTGGCATGAGTTCAGTCACCAGCCCAGGGAGTTGACCCACACCATGCAGCAGACCTCTCCTGTCTTATCCACTGCTCTCCTCTGCAGTGTATTTCGAGAGATCTGCCTATTCTGCTCCCCATATGTCCCTGGTGAATCTTCTCACCCCCCCCCAACACCTCTGCTTATACCCCAGTTTTTATATGCATAAATAAATAAAAATCAATCTTTAAAAAAATAAAGCTGGAAGACTTCAACTGATATCAGGAGTTACAAATCTGTGGAAATTAAGACTGATATAAATGAAATTTAGAATTAATAGTACTATCATTTCTTTGAATAAAGTTTAAAAGCAGACACAACTAACAGGTGGAGAGAGAATTCTGAAAGTGGTCCTCTCTAGATAATTTCAGAGAACCCAGTGAGTTCTGAGGCTATTACATTTTGCAGTAATTTGTGAAAATTCATCAAACTGTGTGTTTATAACATGGGTGTGTAGTATTGATTAAACCTTACTAAACAGTTCAGGAAAATGGAATTATTCTTATATAACCACTCTTTGCCACAAATAGAGATTGATCTTTTCAGCTCTTTCTAAATTGTGCTGCGTGGTTTCATTTGTTATAATAGTACTTCATTTTCTAATCAAAGAAATTAGCCATTATTTCTACACTTTCTAAGAGTAACTATGGCATCCTAAATCCTTTGCCAAACAGTATTACCAGTTTCCTGCCATTCTGTTTCTCTGAACGAGAGGCCACTTTTCAGAATTCGTGTTCTATGCTCAGATCAGACTCAGAATACTATTGTAGATAACGCCATGGCACAATGAGCACTTTCCTTGTGGAAAGTGTTCCTGCATCTTTTCCCTACCTTTTGTCTGTTTCTCCGCAGGCAATGAAGAGGCAGTGGCTGACACCGGCAGGCGTGTGGGTGGAGCGCTAGCTCGGAAGAGTGCCCTTGAACACAGATTAAGTGATGCTGTCAGGCGGTTGCAAGCAGCAGAGAGAGGTAAGCATCACAGACAGAACTAAAAATTCATCTGTTTGTTAAAAAAAAACCTTTGGTGGCCCTCCCTGGTGGCGCAGCAGGTTAAAGCACAGCACTGAGAAGCTAAAGTCACTTCCGCATGAGTTCGATTCCCGCCTGCCCCGGAGGTGACCACATGGCGTGGCAGACCTCTCCTGACCCCCCCGCTGCTCCCCTCAGCAGTGTACTTCGTCCATCTGCCTGGTCTGCTCCGCACTCTGTCTCTGGTGAAGCCTCTCGCTGCCCCTGAGCCTCTGGCCTATACCCCAGTTCTGTATGAACAAATAAATAAATCTTAAAAAAAAAAAAAAAAAAAACCTTTGGGGCCCTCCCTGGTGGCACAGTGGGTTAGGACGCACCACTGAAAGCTAGCCACAGCCACTTCAGTGCAAATTCAATCCCGGACCCAGAGGTGACCCACATGGCATCACAGACCTCTCCTGGCCCACCAGCTGCTCCCCTCATCAGTGTACTTCATCGATCTGCCTGTTCTGCTCCCCGCTCTGTCTCTGGTGAAGCTTCTCACTACTCCTGCACCTCTGGCTTGTACCCCAGTTCTATATGAATAAATAAATAAGTCTTAAAAAAAACTTTAGGGTACAGAGGGCAGTGGTATTAAAGATAAACTTTTGAGAAAGTAGTAGGTGATTCCTTATCAATTTTTTGATGACCAAAGAAACTGCAAATATCAAAAATACCTTGTCAACACTTATTATTTCTTAATTTTTTCATGGTAACTGTTCTAACCATTGTGAAGTGAGATTGCATTGTGATTAAATTTACCTTTTGGCCCTCCCTGGTGGTGCAGCAGGTTAAAGCACAGCACTAAGAAGCTAAAGCCACTTCAGCATGGGTTTGAACCCTGCCCACCCCGGAAATGATCCACACGGCGTGGCAGACCTCTCCTGACCCGCCCGCGGCTCCCCTCAGCAGTGTACTTCAAAGATCTGCCTGTTCTGCTCCCCACTCTGTCTCTGGTGAACCCTCTCACCATCCCTGCACCTCTGGCTTGTACCCCAGTTCTATATGCAAAAGTAAAGAAATCTTAAATTAAAAAAAAATTTACCTTTTAATTTGAAAATAATTTTAATGAGATTAGTCAGGTTTACTTATTGAGACTTCCTACAATACTCTTAATTATACCAAATTAACATATTCACAAGTTCTCGTTTAGCATAAAAGCCCAAACTTTGCAGTGATTAAATCGATGTCGCTGTCCCCAATAGCTGTTCTCCTGCTCTGCAAACTGACTAGCCTTGTGTTCTGTGTGAAGGTGATTCTCAGCAACGCCTGGGCCAGGCCAAGCTGAACGTCAAGGAAGCTGACAAGACCACACTGCAAGTCCAGCAGATCACCGGCCCGCTGGCCAGCAATCTAACCAGCTGGTCACAGAACCTTCAAAACTTTGACACTTCTGTTTACAACACCGCCGTGGACACTGCCAGGGATGCAGGTGTGCCTGAGGGTGTCACAGTTGGCATCCAGTTGAGGGATTAGCCATTAAACTGTATACATTTTTTAATTAAACAGTCATTTTCTTCATTTGGACTATATAAACATTAACTTAAAAAAGGAGAAAATCTTTTGCTTGGTCCATCTATTCATATGTGCTTGTGCGCACGTTTTATGTGGATTATATCTTGTGTCATATATTTCACATCAATTATTTCTGTGTGAAGTAAGGGAAGAAGATGTTTTTATCAATGTAAGATTGATCCTTGAAAGAAGCTTGTTTACAGGTCAGGGTCAATAATCTTAACAAAATATTGATTTGTGTTTAGGAAAAAAATACCAAATGGCATTGTTTTGGCTAACAGCATTGCTTTCTCTCAAGTAAAGTTATTTCCAACAAGTACTAACAATGGCCAAAGTAAACTCAAACTTTGCATTAAAAATGGTGCTGACCAAATTCAATATACAGATTTATAGCAATGAAATGAAATATTTTGATAACTGCCTAGTTTATTTAGTTAGTCATGTATGTTAAAATTACATATTATCTGAGAAATTTCCTTTTCAAGGTTCATAATTTTCTTCAGTTTCTTCATACCTCAAAATATCAGTGTCTCAGTCATGATCTGAACTTTCAGTTCTCTGCATGGCTCTAGAGACCATGGTGTTTTCATGTCCATCTGAGTTAAGAAATGGCTTTATGAATCTCTCTGTTATTTGTCTATTACTAGAAATTGTACCCAGAATCATAAATACCCATTTCCGTAACAGGAAGATAGGTCCTTTATATGCACCAAAAATTTAAGTATATATTTATGTGTCCTTACAAGTAACTTCTTAATTAATTGATTTTAAATATGATTTATAAAAGATTTGCCTATATGACATCCAGTATTTTCATTTATAAAGATATTGCATTATGAATATTTGTTAAATCTGTGTTAATTATTTTCCTTCTTTATTCCCAGTGATTCCAATAAGCATGCAAAACAAGCACCAATTAAAATAATGTCAGCCCTCTATGTTTTCCTCAAATGGCATTTTGTTGTTCATAACAAAATAAATGAAAGTACATATCAAAATTTAAGACTGGTAAAAACTTAAGTGTACAATGGTTCCCTTTTGCTGAGAGAATTAAGAATAGATGCTGGCTTCTATGCATTTTCATAGTCAACATTTATATGATGCTTTAAATATGCTTTATTTAAATAAGTATACTATATATTTAAATACTTTTACATTATAAAATGGCTATTGCAATCTGTAATCCAAACAATGAATTTTCGCTTCTATATCAATACTAATCAATAAAATTAACTGATAGTTGCTATTATCCTATTTAATTTCATCCCTTGTGTTGGAAAAGGGCCTCATTCCCTAAGTACCGATAAAAGATGTTTCCTTGACTCATTGATATAACCCTTGAATGAGTTCAGATTGGCTCCAGTAAGAGGCTTGCTCTTGCCCAGCTGCTGCTAACTCAGTGACCACAGCCCTGTCCTTCATAGGGAAAAACCCAGAACATCATCATTCTCTGGTGCAATGGTTCTCACACTATTGGGTGCAGCAGAATCACCCGGGCCCTACCCCAGAATTTCTGAATCAATAGGTTTGGGATGGGGTGAGAGAATTTGCCTTTCTTACACATCCCCTAGTGAAACTTCCTCTGATGATCTGGGACCCACCCAGTCAATCAAATTTCAGAGAGATTTCTGCCCTTCTCTTCTGTGCTTTGTTTTTCTCTTACCAAGCCATAGTCTTATGATTTGTGTTCTTCTCCACACACGTATGCTACAGCTTAAAAAAAAAAAAAAAAAGTCAACCTAAAAGTGTTGGTCAGATCTGCTTGTAGCATCACCTTGTCTGGGCTGTAGATGCTGGTTGCCTTGGCATAATTTTGCAGGATTAAAAAAGTCACTTCTGATAATTCTACCAGAAATAACCATATATTTATTGTTCTTTCACCTGATTCCTAAAATATACTTAATATTGTGCTATTGACACATGATTCATTTTTATTAACTGCAGTAAGAAACCTGACAGAAGTTGTTCCTCAGCTCCTGGATCAGCTTCGTACAGTCGAGCAGAAGCGACCTGCAAGCAATGTTTCTGCCAGCATCCAGAGGATCCGAGAACTCATTGCTCAGACCAGAAGTGTTGCCAGCAAGGTAACCGCAGGAGAGTCTTCACTCAGTGCTGATGAGAACAAGGGACTGAGCTCCAATTTCTCGGGCAACTTCCAGAGCCTGGAGCCTTTCCATTGTATTAGCCCATTAAGTGGTTCTCAGCCCATAGGTTCATTAGAATCATATGAGGGGTTTTTAAAAAGAAGCCAACCTCAAAAAACAAAAACAAAAACAGGCTCTCTACAGGAAGAGCATCTGTGTTTTTTGAAAGCCCCCCAGTAAGTCTAATCCATAGTAAAGATTAAGAAACACAGACCTAACTTAGTCAACACAACTCATAGAGCAAAAGAAATCAAGTACAGCTAATTCCAGTGGAAGACTCTAGCAGCAGCAGCAGCAGTCGTAGCAGTAGTAGTAGTAGTAGCAGCAATAGTAGTAGCAGCAGCAGCAATAGCAATAGTAGAAGTAGTAATATAGTCATAGTAGTAGTAGTAATGACCTTAACAGCTATTTCGATGCCATTCCTATCTTATAATCTCACACATCTCTGTCTCCAAAGAATTACTTGGTGTACATGACTTGAAGCTTTTATTTATCCCTCCACACAGCGAAGGAACATAGCTGAGGAACTACATACCAGCTAAGATGAATGATCTCAGCACCCTGCTCTAAGATAGTTATGCGGAAGCAATGCAGCAACCCTAGAACTAACACCAGCTTTAGAAAGAACAAATCCTGACACAATTAACATTTTTAATGTGGCAACAAAGGCTTTGTTCTTGGCCCTTTTTTGAAATTATTTTTTTAAAAGATTTATTTATTCATACAGAACTGGGGTACAGGTCAGAGATGTGGAGGGTGAGAGGATTAACCAGAGAAAGAGTGGGGAGCAGAACAGGCAGATCGATTAAGTCCACTGCTGAGGGGAGCAGCAGGTGTGGGTCAGGAGAGGCCTGCTGCGCCATGTGGGTCACCTACGGGGCAGGCGGGGATCGAACTCATGTGGAAGTGGCTTAAGCTAATTCTTAGTGCTGCGCTTTAACCTGCTGCGCCACCAGGGAGGGCCCTGAAATTATTTTTTTATTGATATAAACCGGAATCACTTTTTGACACATACATAGTTTTATTTTCTTAGTTGAGAATTGGCTGGAACACACTATTGGCCCAAATGTGTGACAGAAATAAGAATTAGAAACCTACTATTTGGTAATGATGATATTATTCCTGAAAAATATACCCAACTTCCAAGTGTATTATGATGTCTGTGCAAAAATATTTTTTAGATATTTACCATCTTTAGGTAACTTAGAACAGATTTCAGAAAAGGTTTATCATTAACAAAAGAAAAAAATACCATCCCCAATGCCAGGTTTCTGTGAGTGCTTTCTTGTAATTTCACTTAATTGAAGCAGAATTTTTAATGCCTGAATCTGCTAACACTCTTTTCTAAAGAGAACCCTGGCACTGTTTAGGGAAGTTGCTTAGCTTCCCAAAATGAGGTGTTTTCTGTGCTGATATACATCCTTCTCACATTCTCAACTTTTGCAAAAGACTTTTGTCCCAAACACTGCTCCATCACTTATTAGGATGTGTTGATCCCGACTCACCTGATTGCATAGGACATTCACACTCCAGATATTTGGGAACCCAATCTTGAGCTGACTGATCACCAGTGTTAATTGATAAAACACATTTATCACAAATATTTACACAAATGACATCTATCTAACTAGCTAGCTATAGTTCCCCTACTTTTGAATGCTCCAAAAAGATCATTTATGCATCCAGCTCAGTATATCGCACAGGGCTTTCTTGAAATGAGTTTACTGAATTGTGCTTTGTCATGACGTCATTCTGAGAATTAATGTAAAAAACATCTAAGTGAGCTGATCATTGTAATTATAATGATTGACTCAGGCATGAGACATCATTTTATGGTTATCATCTTAATTCCTTCTCGCAAAAAATGTATTAGCTTCATTTTACAGATGAGGAAACTAAAGATTAAGTAACTTGTTACTAAGTGGCAGACTCAGATTTCAAGGCCCCAGTTAAGATTTGAAAGCTGCCTTTGAACGCCTGGAAAGGCAGTCAGGATACTGCTCACAGTCTGACACCAGGCTCCTCTCTTGAAGACCTTAGGAAGAAAGTCCTAGGGGAGAAAGTCCTAGCTGTATTAATACCTAAGTTTAGGTATTCAGTTATTTAGTTCACTCCAAACAAGCTTGTAGTTCATTAGGGACTATTCATTGTTAATGTACGTTGTCACTTTTTTTCACTCTAAACCCAAACGACTGCATTTTGATCTGCCTCAAACCCTTCCTCTAACAAAATGAGTATAAAAGTTAACAAATAAGGGCATGAAAGAGAGTAGAATTCAGAAACCCCTCCAAGAAAGGAGGAATGTCCATGGAAATTGATGAGAAAGTGCCATTACCCTGTCTGCAGAGTATTTCTCTTTTTTTTTTTTTTTTGAAGATTATTTATGCATACAGTACTGGGGTACAGGCCAGAGGTGCAGGGGCGGTGAGAGGATTCACCAGAGACAGAGTGGAAGGCAGAAAAGGTAAATGGACAAAGTACACTGCTGAGGGTAGCAGCAGGCAAGACAGGAGAGATCTTCTGTGCCATGTGGGTCACCTCCAGGGCTGAGGCTGGAACTCGCTCTGAGGCAGCTAAAGCTAGCTTGCAGTGCTGCAATTTAACCTTTTGTGCCACCAGGGAGGGCCTGCAGAGTATTTCTAATGGAATGATTTTGCAACTCCAGATCCAAGTCTCCATGATGTTTGATGGCCAGTCAGCGGTTGAAGTGCACCCCAGAACCAGTCTGGATGACTTAAAGACCTTCACAGCCCTGAGCCTGTACATGAAACCTCCCACAAAGCGGTCAGAACTGCCTGGGGTTGCAGATCAGTTTATACTGTACCTCGGAAGTAAAAACGTAAGAGCTTGAGGCTTTAAAGATGGTTTTAAATATTGAAAGAAAAGATAAGTGTTTTTCTCTTGCTTTAAAACAAAACTACCTATCCAAACAAACAAAATTCGCACTCTGGTAGCCCAGAGTTATTCATCATTTTAATGTCAAGACAAAGGTAGCAATTTAAAAAAGGTCATTCTTTATATGAGATAGTTCTGGGGCTGCTTCCTATCAGCATCACAATGCTCACTTCAAGGAGTGTGGATGTAATATTTCAAATACCTTTGGGATGACAGAGATCTGTTATGCTTGATACTGAATCCTGTTTAAAGGTTCATAACACAGGTATTGTCAGGCTGCTTTACGTCACTGGGCAGCCAACAAATGAACCCATTTCTAGCTGCAGCCAATGTCCGCAAGCCTGCAGTTGCTTGATTTCTATCCACAGTGCACTTGTTATGAGCACAGGGACCAGAATACTGTAACACTGACAAGGAGGCTGAAAAGGAAAAAGTACTGCCCAGTTTAATTGGAGTGCCTGGTAATATTTCAGACCAGACATACCTAGTAGACAGCCAAGCATCAGAGTACAGGCTTGTTCTTGAAATAAAGATGAATTTTATCTCTAGGGATTTTATTTCAGTGATTTATTGACATTTCAGGCCAAAAAAGAATATGTGGGTCTTGCAATCAAAAATGATAATCTGGTGTACATTTATAATTTGGGAACGAAGGATGTAGAAATCCCTCTGGACTCCAAGCCTGTCAGTTCCTGGCCTGCTTACTTCAGCATTGTCAAGATTGAAAGGTAAAGTAAACTGGTGACAAAGGGCTTTAAGCACATTTCATAAGAAACCTGTTGAATGCATTCACACACACACTCACACACTCACACTCACATTCCCTGTGGATGTTGCTGTGGATGGTAGTTTCTTCACTTTATTTTTGATCGTCTTTCTTTATTCCTGCATCCCTTCCCAAACTTTAGTGGGAAAAAAGTATTGGATAAGTTAGTATTATTTCTATATAGCATTGTGATTATTCAGTTTTTATCTGAACAATCCAACCCAAGAATTAATCCCAAGATAGAATGTCATTTTCTCACATCGCTTGTTTGCTGGTATTCCTTGTTTGTGAATGTGAAAATGTCAAATTACCAATATATAAAGAAAGCTAATGTTTTGACATTAAAAAAATGTTTTTGGGCTAAGGGAGAAATTGATTTCTTTCAACAGGGTAGGAAAACATGGAAAAGTGTTTTTAACTGTCCCAAGTCTAAGTAGCACTGCAGAGGAGAAGTTTATTAAAAAGGGACAGTTTATGGGAGATGACTCTTTACTGGACCTTGATCCTGAGGACACTGTGTTTTATGTTGGTGGGGTGCCTTCAGGCTTCAAGGTAAGCTACCCAGCTATATTATGAATTATTACAAATCTACAATGATGATTTTCAAAATTCATAAAATTTACGAGTATATCAAGGAGAGAACAGAAAGCTTGCTAGTTTAAGGAAGAGCTTAGTTTACTACATGGTGGAATTCTGAATCAGGTTCTATAAATCTAGTATCTAATACTCCTATTTTCATAGTGTCAAATGCTTTCAAGCTGTAGCTAATGCCTAATATTAGCTTATTTCATTCTGATATCTCCTGTATAATTAATATTATCCTTATATGCAACAAGGTTTGTATTTAATGTTTAGCTTTGCAAATGGCAGTTTCAAAAACTCAGTTGTTGTTTTTTTTAAAGATTTATTTAATGATGTATACAGAACTGGGATACAAGCCAGAGGTGTGGGGGTGGTAAGAGGCTTCACCAGCGACAGAGTGGGGAGCAGAACAGGCAGATCAATGAAGGCACTACTGAGGGGAGCAGCGGGGAGGTCAGGAGAGGTCTGCTACGCCATGTGGATTAACTCCAGGGTCAGGGATCGAACTCACACTGATGTGGTCGTGGCTAGCTTCCAGTGCTGTGTCCTAACCCATTGTGCCACCAGGGAGGGCCAAACTCAATTATTTTAACATGAAATAACACTAGGATGGGGAGGAGTGAGTCCTAAGGAGGAGTATGGTATGATCAGATGAAGGGCAGGTGAAGAAAGCCAAGAAAATGATGAATCGATGTAGGATTTCACTTGTAGGGCTATTACTTACCAGGTCTAGGCATGCTATTGAGCTCTCAGAGTTACTGTCCCTTTCTTTATATGAGAACAGGAATACACAGCTAACCAAGCTTGTATAGGATTGATTTGGTCATGCATTCACTGTCCAGTGTTTGGCACAGAGAATATGCTCAGTAAATCCCACTACTCTGCTTAAATATACATGACTTTGAAAACATTGTTTAGTCAAATGATTTGGCATAGACTCAATACAAACCCAGGTCTAAAGAGATATTGTTGAGTAGGTCTGTTGGCCTATTATTTGTTTCATTGCTAGTTCTGGACAATCTGGTGATATTGGATCATGTTCAGTTGACTTTGCCTTATCTGTTACACAGCTCCCTGGCAGCTTAGACCTACCTGGCTTCACGGGCTGCTTGGAATTGGCTACTTTAAATAACCATGTGATCAGCTTGTACAATTTTAAGCACATCTATAATATGGATCCCTCCAAGTCAGTACCCTGTGCAAGGTAAGGAAATGTTCAAGAGCTAAAGACTTTGATAGCCATGCAAGAGCAGCAGAGGAAACAGATGTGGGTCAATACTCAGGATCTCACTCTTCTTTTTGAGAATACCACTTTTGAAAGTGCATTAATGTCAAGCCACAAAGATTTCATTAGTTCTTCTCTGCCATAGAGAACATGTACAGGATTCCAGGGACTAAGGTTCTACTGGACACTTCTGTTGTCTTAGCACAGAGTACAGATTTAACTGAATTTAAAACAATTCATTTTAATGTGCCTGTATTTGTAAGTGATGTCTTGCATCTCCCCTATAGTTATCAGGACTTCCTTTATACACTGTAAGATCAACAGGAGAGGCCTTGAGAATGTTAAAAGAGCCTCACTTGAAAAGCATAGTAGAAACTGTAATAGATCCCTGCATTTTCATTTCAGAGATAAACTGGCCTTCACTCAGAGACGGGCTGCCAGCTACTTCTTTGATGGCTCTAGTTATGCCGTGGTGAGAGACATCACAAGGAGAGGGAAGTTTGGTCAGGTGACGCGCTTTGACATAGAAGTTCGAACACCAGCTGACAATAGCCTTGTACTCCTGATGGTCAATGGAGTGAGTAAAAATGAAAGGCCTCCATTTCCTCCTTTTTTTCCTGCACTTTCTGTTATGCATGTTTCTAGGTGTCTTCCCTGGCTGAGTGTCATGGCTTCAGACTATTTTTTAGTTTAGGAAACAAGATCAGATTTCTTCCCCCTAGAAAAGTGGTATCAGCTGTCAAAATAAGTCCTCAAATGTATGTTTGGATGTACATGAAATATGTCCTTTATAAACTAAAGGAATTTTAAGGAAAATCAGAACCAAGATCTGCAGTATCTCTGCTGAAACTCAGCACTGGCTTTCTAAAATCATACACCCTTTGCGGTAAAAAAATAAGCTTACATGTTTTTAAAATATATATACTTACTTATAAATGATAAGTATAGTCTACATATAGATATCCTATATACAGATATATATAAAATATTATAGGAATATAGGAATATAGATGTGCTTATTATGGAGACAATGAAAAACTCCCTGACATTAGTTAGGACACATCTCTCCTGAGTACTTCTTAAAAAAAGAGTTACTCTCTCATTCTTTATTACAATAATAATACCTTTGCCTTAAAGTGACAGAGCGTGTATATTTATTTAATAACTAGTGGGTTTCACACTGCTGAGATACATTCATCATCACAAATAAAGTTTAACAAATTTAAAATAATTCTATCTTGTAAAGGAAAATATATAGTCATCTTTATCCTTCACAGCATTATTTGTAATGTGTAGAAAGTCACCTGTAAATATTTAGGTGGCTCAAAATACTTTCTCAGCAGAAAATCATTGAAATTTTCTGTTATCTAGTTATCTCACTCACACATCCCTATAACCAGGTACACATACACTGTGATAAATTACAAATAGCTGAGAGCACAGATATGAGTGAGGGGCCAACCAGCCCTTCCAGCATGGATCTCACATACCATGTGAACCCTATGAAAATCTATCTAAAGGACAAAGGGTCAAAATCTATGTAAAGGCCCAGGGTCAATTCATGCATTAAATATCAAAGGTTAGTTTTTCTCCCCTCTATTGTAAAGTTTTAAAATGAGTAGTATAAATAGAAGTTGAAGTAATTTTTTCTATCCCCAACAGATTGTTTGCTGCATTCTGAGCAGTATAAAAAACACCAGTCTGGCCCTTTCCATAGAAAGGGGACCTCGCCACAACACTTATTTTTCTTGAGTTCTTGTGATGAACTATCTTCTGAAACAAACAAGTCTACCCAGAAAATTACTTGAGTGTTACAGAATTACTTTGGTTCTTGGACATCATGTGGTTCAAGTACATAACAATTTCATATTTATTTACATAAATCCATTGTTTCAAAATAACAGAGAAATGGCCTTCATTTTTAAATACCTACATTTGCCAAAAATTTGAGGAGTTCTCTACATCCCTTGGAACTATTTTTCAGTATCACCAATTTTTCTCTTAAACTGAAATGCAATTACCAATTGTCCTGTTGATTTTCAAAAGTTGCCTGAGAAAAAGCAGTTGAATTCACATGATGTATAATATTCTGTTTTCAAGTTTTTCAAAAGATCAATGAAATTGACCTTTAAAGTTGAAATTTTAAATGAGTTAAAATTTCATTAATTCAAGTAAATAAGAAGCAAAAGAAGGTAGTTTTAATTTGTGTATAAATATTAACACTTTGTTTCACTAACACAGTAGGTGATTACTGCTGGAAGTAGTTGTGATTTTTATTTCATAAAAAGAGCTTCATAAGACTTCCTTAGTCAAACAATTTCAGTAATAAAGAAGAGTGCTATTTCTCAGATTCAGCTTAATCTGCATTTTCATAATAGCAGGCTCTCACATCTTATAACTTCTTTCTTTTCACAGAGTATGTTTTTCAGCCTTGAAATGCGCAATGGTTATCTACATGTGTCGTATGACTTTGGATTTAGAAATGGCCCTGTCCAGTTTAATGACACAGAAAAGAAAGCTCCAATTAATGATGCAAAATACCACGAGGTACTAATTGTTGAGATTTGGTTGGTTTATTTGTTGTACTGAGAGCAATTGATCCAATCAGAGAGTCAAATTCCATAGCTGGAATAGTAATTAAATTAAATACATTCACACCTAAAGAGCAATTGCAAGGCCATCATCTACCCAACTCCAGAACAACAATTACTTTTAAAGAACAGATTTTAAAAATCATATCAACGTTTCCAAAAATAAAAAATTAAAGATGACTTTTACTTGTTTCATTGACCAAAAAATACCTATTAGTGTTCAATATCTCAATTACAATGGCACTCCTATAGTGTCCTTCTATAATTTGTTTAAAAAGATGGTGTAGATAACACCTTTTTATTTATCCATTGAGTCCTTCCAAGTGTATAAGGAGTGCATGTAAATACATATAAAACTTAAATCATTGTACAGAACTTTAAAAATACTAATATAGGCTTCCTTATAAAGAGAATCAACAAAAAAGATCTTTAATCTTGAAATATATGTATAGAATGCTGATGAGACACATCATTTTTTATTAAAAACTGCTTTAACTCTATAATTTAATAAAATGTATAAAAAGTACAGTGTATTTTAAGTTGAACTGAAATGCAGGGTTTAGAAGGTCATATTTTTTTCCCTTTGCAGTTCAGCTCATAGTGTTTCTGAAGAGTAGTTTATAACAAAAGAATCTTTTAACTATTTCTATGACTAGCATTTTCACAATTCCATTAGAGTCTCTCACTATGACACCCAAAATGACATCTAGTAATAGTTTCGGTCTAGAAGCCACCTGCTTATAATTCACTCTCAAATCCCCTTAAAGAGACAAAAGAAACAAAAGGACTTATCACAATTTTTTCTTAGACTGGCTCCCTCTCCATGTGGAACTCCTTTTCCAAAAAATGTGAACGTCTAGTTATATAAACAAGAGTTTTCATGTCTATGAGTAAGAAAGGAAAAGCATCTTAACCAGAATAATTAAAATATATAGTTGTCTTCAAAAAGTTGAATATTAAACAGTGATCAAAACTAACTACATATTATTTCTCCCAGATCTCAGTCATTTACCACAATGATAAGAAAATGATTTTGGTAGTTGACAGACGACATGTCAAGAGCATGGATAATGAAAAGATGAAAATACCCTTTACAGACATATATATAGGAGGGGCTCCCCCAGAAATCTTACAATCCAGGTAAGGTCTATGTGTGTGTCTGGGTGAAGTAGCTGGTTGTTTCTAATACATTGGGCTGAGCTTTCACATCCAATAGAGATCTGTAAAAGGTCAAACACCCCCCCGGCTACTTCTACAAAGAAACAGGCATGTAGCCTTATTCACCCTCTCAACCCCTCAGCCAGTCCTCATGAACCCCTTAAATCACCAGCAATTATTGTGTTACTCTTCAAGTTTCTACAAGTTTCTTCAACTATTGAATTACTCTTAGAACATAGTCTGATGCAATATTTCTCACTACCAAAGGGAAAAGTGGAGCCAAATTTATTGTATGAAAACAAGGCAACATTGTGCTCTTTACTTTTGTTTTAGCCTTAAGTTAAATTTATTTGAGCTCTCAAATAGCATCTGAGTACACAAACATTTTTAAATTTATCCAGGTGATTATGAATTATGCATTCTCATGTATTCAGAAACTCAGGGTGTTTTAAGAGTTATTTATTTATGCATACAAGAACTGGGTGTAGGCCAGAGGGGCGGGGGCAAAGAGGATTCACCAGAGACAGAGTGGGGAGCAGAACAGGCAGACCAACTGAAACACACTGCTGAGGGGAACAGCAGATGGGTCAGGAGAGGTCTGCCATGCCATGTAGGTCACCTTCCTGGTATTGAATCGAACTCATGCTGTAGTGGCTGCAGATAGCTTCATAATGTTGCACTTTCACCCATTGTACCACCAGGAAGGGCCCTCAAAAATTCAGTTTTAATTACAGTGTCATACTATCCATTCATAGTATGAATTCGTAGTATCAGAGAGGCTTAAAACTAAGAGACAACTTTAGAAAAATCCGTTCAATGGTTCTCAAACCTGGCTTTTATTTTATTTTATTAAAATAATCTAGAGAGCATTTATAAGCACGAGTGCCATGATCATGCTCCAGAAATTATAATTGATATAGGATAAGACTCCAACATCATGCTTCCTTAACCAAACTAAATACCTTCTTCTAAATATCTACATGGGATATTTAGCATAAGGTTGCCAGTATATGCACCCCATCCTATGTATTTGTCAAAGAAAAATATAGTTTGACCAGTGTTCATCTAAAATACATTGAAGTCGTGACTTGGACAAACCTAACTTCATACTAATTTATCAGTATCTAATAACTTGTTCTTGGGTACCTACTATATACTAGGCATGATGATATTAATAGGATTACAGACTAAGCAAAATGCCATCTCTGATCTAGTGATCCAGAGACCTTACATTGACTAAGACATTCCTTCAAACTTAGTTGGCTACATGTTACAGGTAGTCAGGAAGATAAATCCATGACCCATGTGGAAGACTAAAGACTGGTTTCAAATCTAAACTTAATATCTGTGACATAAGCAATAAGTTAACATTTCTTAGTTTAATCTTATAGATTAAACCACATGAAATAGCAAGGAGTTGATCATTTCAACCTACAAATATATTACTTCCTATGGTTCAATATGTAAATGGGAAATAACAGCATTGTCATCAATCTCACTGTATTTTTATAAAGATAAAATGAGCTAATGTTAAATTAAAGACTTTGAAAGTGATAAAATAAATTAATAAAGCCTTCCATAGATAAAGAATAGACATTGAGTCCTTATCAAAGAAAGCATGAGGCTAAGACTAATTATAAAACTATTGTAAATGACTATAAATAAAATCAAATTTCATTACTTACACATGTAGAAATAAATCATCATTATCTATATCAGTAAAGACTAATTTTCTTTTCCAGGAACCTAAAAGCACAACTTCCCTTAGCTATCAACTTCAGAGGATGCATGAAGGGTTTTCAGTTCCAAAAGAAAGATTTCAATCTATTAGAGCAGACAGAAACCCTGGGAGTTGGCTACGGATGCCCAGAAGACTCTCTTGTAAGTACCAGTCAGTCAAAAGCCTTTAATAAACAGACATAAAAAATTATTCTCAAAAGCTTCTCTGGGATGCTACGTACATCTTGGGCTCCCTCTGCCAGCATGCCACCAACATAAAGAATAATTCAAACCAGAATGATTTGGGGGGGTCTCTTTTGTTTCCTCCAGTTGCTTCAGTTACCCATAGATTGGATTTCCAAAGTCCAGAGAGGTTGTGTAAGCATGTTTACTCACTCCAAGTAGAGGAATAGAGAAGTTGGAACCTCATTAGGTAGAAGTATGCAGAAGGAAGGCTAAGATGCCTGAATTCCAATATAAACCACATGTTAAAACATAACTATTAATGTGGAAACTAGTAGGTAAGGCCTTTGGTATGTGAGAAATTTGATAAATATCCATTTGATAATCATCACAAGTACCAAGTTAATCTTTATTTATTTAATTTACTTTTTGCCACACAGATATCTCGCAGAGCATATTTTAATGGCCAGAGTTTCATTGCTTCGACTCAGAGAATATCTTTCTTTGATGGCTTTGAAGGAGGTTTTAATTTCCGAACATTACAGCCAAATGGGTTACTATTGTATTATGCTTCAGGAGTAAGTATTTGTTTTTCCCTGAGGAAATATTTTTGTGATAATTATTTCATCTAATAAATTCTTTTAGAGCATGTTAGAATTGATTGTTTATTCATATTAATTTTGGCACACATGTACATAGGCAGATTGCCTCATTTAAGAATTTCATAAAATATTATAAATATTGTCCATTGGGAGTTCATAAACCCATCCCTGAGAGGTACATGAAAAGAATTCAGTGAATCTGAGGATTCAAGCAGGGAAAAATTACATCTTTTCTTCAACAAGATTTTAATATTTTCTTCAACTGTAAATGTTGGCAATAAGCCACAGTAATTTAGCAAGTACCTGTGACTGTGTCATTAATAAAATTTTTCATTTCCCATTACCATGGTCACAAATATCTCAAAATGTTAGTGTTGTTCATTGCTATTTCTAAATAGTAGTAATTATTAGACTTGTTGCCAGATTTTATCACTTAATTCATTAATAAAGGAAAGAATGCTATCATATCACAGATTTATTGTTTTAATATTTTGAGACTACATTTCAGTGTAACTGGTTTTCTCATTCAGTGTTTTGTCCCATTTACTTTAAAGCATTACTTATGAGGAATCCATTTGTATTCGCAAGCTGTTTACGTTAAGAACATACACATGTGTAACTCATTTTACAAAATAATAGAAAACACTTATCTCTTCTTGGATATACCATAGGACATATCTTATGTCATATTCAATTCAACTTATATGTTATCCAAGAATAAAGTAAGAAGTTCCTTAACCGTATGATCCCACTGAGTTATCTCTGAGTAAGTCATCACCTCCATAGACACCGATGGATGAGCCATCACATACATATGTGGAAATATGTATACAGATATAATTAATTATAATTATTACATGCACCTTGTATAATCATTAAATTACATTGAATTTAAGTCAGGAGCATTTGTGAAAATTCACCCAAAACTCTTCTGCCACCAAACCTGCGTCAGATAACCCTGGGTTTTTGTCCATAGAAAGTAATAGTAAGAGCTATCAGTAGAAAGTAGGAGGTCATTTTGCCAATGTCTTAAACAGGCAATAAACATATTTGGAAAAAGATGTTCATTTGTACTTCTTTTTATTTTGCTTCTTCTATCAACAACAAACTTTTTTTTTAAAGATTTATTTATTTATTTATATAAAACTGGCGTACAGGCCAGAGATGCGGAGGGTGAGAGGATTCACCAGAGACAGAGTGGGGAGCAGAACAGGCAGATCGACGACGTACACTGCTGATGGGAGCAGCAGGCGGGTCAGGAGAAGTCTGTCGCGCCATGTGGATCTCCTCTGGGGCAGGCGGGAATCAAACTCATGCAGAAGTGGCTTAAGCTTCTTGGTGCTGTGCTTTAAGCCGCTGCGCCACCAGGGAGGGCCCAACAAAAAACATTTTAAAAGACACACTAGCAGGTTAACTCTTGTCTGGTCACTTAACAACATCCCTAAGGAGGGTCAGATACTGCCTTTTCCAGGGCAAGACTGAGGACAGAGTAAAAATGCCCCAGTCAGGAAAGGAAATGGCCATGGGAACATCCCAGAAACTTTCAGTTCAAAATGTAGGAGATTCCTTTTCCCCTTGAGGCTTGTCTAATATCCTAGGCCGTACCAACAAGCTCAACAGATCATTGTGTTGTGTTATTCAGCGAAGTTATTTCACAAGTCAATGCCGCCTCGCCGGCTGGTCCTTGAAGCAGGACCACCTTACGCACTTGCGCTTGCCTTTCAGTCAGACGTGTTCTCCATCTCGCTGGATAATGGCACAGTGCTCATGGACGTGAAGGGGAGCAAGGTGCAGGCGGCCGACCGGCAGTACCACGACGGCCTTCCCCACTTGGTCATCGCCTCTGTCTCAGTCGGAAGGTACAGCGTCCACTTTTATATTCTTTCCACACATAACTCAAGGGACTGTTAGGGACAACAGACTCTATTACTTTTCTAGTATTTATTTTAAATGATGGAAGAAACAACTTTTCAAAGTGCTGTTCATTTTCAAGACATTGCTAATACATCACTATAAAATTACTTAAATTATTTTCCCCCCAGGGTAATGATTGGCTATCTCATCTTGAAGGAGGAGCCTGCACATGTACCACTTACTGTGCAGAGTGCACTATTTTGCACATTAAAGAAGCCCCTCTAATTCTGATTTTGTGGAGATTTTGATGGAGAAAATTGGAAATGCTACCTTTATGGTCACATTTTAAAAGCTCTCATTTTATCTTCAATATATGTAGTATTGAATGTCTCACCATGCCCACTATCAAATATCTACCTGCCATGCACCTCCAACCCTTCTGCTCCTCTCATTGTCCCCCCTCTCTACCATCTCCCCTCCTGCTGTCAAGTCTTGGGTTTGTCTTTTGTTTGTTAGCTTGCTTTTTTCTCTATATTCCTCAAATGCGTGAAATCATTTGCTTGCTATTTGCCTTCTCCTTCTAACTTGTTTCACTTAGCATAATCCCCTCAAGATCCATCCATATTGTTACAATTGGCAAGATTTTGTCTTTTTTATGGGAGGTATTCCATTGCGTGCATACAACACTTCTTTATCCATTCATTGATCATCAGGCACTTAATAGGTTTCTATATGTTAGTCATTCTGAAGAATACTACAGTAATCATTGAGGTGCATATATATTTTCAAATCATGTTTCCATATTCTTTGGCTAACTACCCAGAAGTGGATTACTGAAACATATGGTAGTTCTTTTATTATTTTATTTGATATTTATTTATGCATACAAGAACTGGGGTGCAGGCTGGAGATGCAGGGGGTGAGAAGATTCACCAGAGACAGAGTGGGGAACCGAACAGGCAGATGGACTGAAATACACTGCTGAGGGGAGCAGTGGGTGGTGTCGCAACATGTGGGTCACCCCCCTGGGTGGGGATTGAACATGTGCTTACTGAAGCAGCTGCTGATATTAATAGAGCTGTCCAATTTTCTGTTGTGTGAGTTATTTATATATTTTGGACATTAACCCCATATGTGATATATGGTTAACAAATATTCCCCTATTCAGTAGGCTGCCTGCTTGTCTTAACAATGGTTTCTTTCTCTGTGCAGAGATTTTTCATTTGATATAGTTCCATTTTTAAAATATCATCTCCATTTCTCTTGCTATTAAAGACAATATGCAAAGATATCACTAAAGCCAGAGTCAAAGAACTTATCACCTATGTCTTCTATGTATTTTATGGTTTTAGATCTTATAGTCAAGTTTTAATCCACTTTGAATTAATTTTAGTATCTATTATAAGGCTAAATGTATTTTTTAAAAGAAGAAAGCTTTCTGAAATAAGAATTGAATCTCTGCTGTAGACGTTGCTATTGTATGTCTACTTCTATAGAGTATTCCATGAAGAAAAAAAGCATTAATAGGCCTTTCTTGGAATGCATTTCCAGTTAGGACCAAAGCCATTCAATGTGCTTTATAGTGAAAATAGTCTCCCATAAATGTGACTAAATGATCACCATAAGGTATGTTCCAGTTTTCCCACAAAAACAAGAAATGGTAAAAAAGAAGAAATCAATGCTGAGACTAATTTCAACTCCTTGATTTTATGAGTTTAAATTCCAGTAGTGATTTGGAGGTTCTTTTCTGCATATAGAAATACTTAACCACTTTATTCTGGCCCTAATGAAGAGTCGGGCAATTCGTTGTCTTTTATTTAACCAGATGTTCCATTTCAATCTCATGAGAAGACTTATAACTTAAGGTGGAACTCAGGGTAATTTGATGGTATCTCAAGGTGACTCTGTGATGTGTAAAGAAACTTTTTCCTTTGCAGATATGAACTGATAGTAGATAAAAGCAGACTTGGGAGTAAGAAACCTACTAAAGGAAAAACAGAACAGAAAAAAGAAGCTGAAAAGTTTTATTTTGGTGGCTCACCTATCAGTCCCCAGTTTGCTAATTTTACTGGCTGTATAAGTAACGCCTACTTTACCAGGTATAATGTTTTTATTATTCACAAATATACATAACTGATAAAGAGCATCACATCAATAATTAAAATATTTGCATGATTGAAACTAGGAACTCTGAAATTTCAAATTCCATAATGCAGAGACATTAGAAGGCAATAATTAAAACTTGCATGTACTTGGGAAACTAACATACTTGATTTTGTGTAGGTTTTTTTGCCCTTCAAATTCTTTATGACGGTGACTAAATGGACCCTTCACTTCTGCACCTCCAAAATGCAGATAATAATCGTGTCTATCTGGTAGGCTTTTTATGAGGATTAAGTGAGATAATGTTCATATAGGCCCTGGCATACAGCAACCATAAATATTGGATGTAGAACTACATACCCAAATCCTTGTTAGAGGTTTAAGAGAATAATCTTAATTAATGCATGACTTTAGACAAAGCCATTATTCTAGGTCCTTCACAAAGATAATGAGGACTCTCTAAGTACAAGAACAAGCACAGAAGAAATTTAACACAGTTTAAGTTAACATACAGTGTGGGAAGGAGAAAAATGCACATGTGTCAGAAAATTCTGGGGCCAGCATATTGTTATTATTGAGTAATTGATTGAATGAACCTTTAAAATGTGCTGATGAAGATAGTGGCTACTGGATAAAGGTCCTTAACACACACACACATACACACAATGCCAGTTTCTTTGACTTTCAGTTTTCATTATGTAATTCTGAGCAATGATTTTTGATTAAGTTTTTCCTTCTGTGTTACAAATATAGGTTGGACAGAGATGTAGAAGTGGAAGATTTCCAGCGGTATTCTGAAAAGGTTCACACTTCTCTCTTTGAGTGTCCCATTGAGTCGTCACCTTTGTTTCTCCTTCACAAAAAGGGAAGAAATTCCTCAAAATCTAAAACAAGTCAGAATAAAAAGGTAAAAGATGACACTATATTTCCAGCTGTCTTCAGAGCCCACACCCACAATTCTAGACACTGGTGCTTTATAGAACTTACTTGAATTTGCACTGCACACAGATAAAAAAATGAAATTTTTGTATCAGATTTTTTGCATGAATTCTTTTTCAAGAGAAACAGTTTGAATCAGTTTTTACTCATACTTCTAACATCCTATCATTACAAGGATTACAATCGCTCTGCACTTACCAATTTGTATATCTAACGTATGTTATTCAGGAGCATTTGCTTTCATGTCAGTCTTTTGTCACCGTTATAGAAATGATTAAAGGTTCAGGTCTTTGTTTTCCCTCCCTTCCGTGACCTTCAGTTCAGCTACTATATAGACAGTTGATCTCAATCATCAACTAGACCCACTCCCCATCAAATCTTGAATTCTGAAAATGCATTTTCTAATATTTAGTTCCAATATATTTACTACTTGCCTTCATTACAAACAAAACTCTTATTTCCTTCCAGATCTTGCAGTCTAATCTTCCCCACCCCCTTCCTAGTCTAATTTTAATGATGCAGTCAGGTACCAGGGCTCCAACCTATCCAAAATGCCATCACCTCACATCTGAATTATTGCAATAGCTGCCCAAAACCTCCCTGACTCTACCTGTTTCCATCCATCTATTCCAAACACGGCAGCTGAAGCCTATGAACGTCAGCTTTATTAGGTCACTCCTCTGCTCAGAGTGGCCTCCAATACACTCAAAATCCCAAGTCCCTGCAAAGTCATGAAGGGTTCTATATTACCCATGCTCCTTTTCTCCACTCATTCATCTTCTTATACTGGCCACCTGGCTATTCTAAAATGGACTGTCCACTTCTTAAAATTTTCACTTGAACTTTCCTTCTCTTGAAACTTTCTTCCCCTAAATATCTGCAGAGAAGGCTCCTTCTCCTCCTCACATTGCCCAATTCTCCTATGTTCATCAAGGCTTATCTTGAGCATCTGGGTAAGACCACCGCCTGCTTCCTGCCTTCTACCGCTACTACTGATCTTTGCCTTTTCCGATTTTCTTTTCTCCATTTCATTTATCATTTATTTTATTATAGAATTTTTATTGTGTTTTTTATTATAGATTGTCTCTGCTAGAATGCAAGCTCTTTGTTTTGTTTACTGATGTTTCCCAAGAACCTAGAACAATATTCTTAATAGATATTGAATAAATATCTATTGGTATATGCCTCATAGGATTGTTGTAAGGATTAAATGAATTAATGTACAAAATATACTTACCACGGTGCCTGGTTTTTAGTAATATTTCATGAATATTAGCTTTTCTATCTCTATAAAGTTTCATGAGTGTTTTTGGAGGATCATGTCCCAGAAGCATTATTGCCTGATTTAAGGGAATGTAGGTTTTCAGTATTAAGGCAATACTAAATTACAGTCCCACAAACATCATGTAAAAGAACCTGTTGTTCCAAGTAATTGCTAATGCTAGATATAATAATAAAATATTTATAATTCAGCAATTGACTGAACAAAATTATAAGCTCATTGAGATTATAATTTGCATTGCTTTAAGTGCCAGTGAGGCTGAGCACCCTTGAAGGGAGTAATTGATTTCCTTCCAAAGCTTGGTTTTGAAGCGTTAGCAAGAGGGAAGCATCCCCACCAGATCTTCATTTGTGATGATTTTTCACTGATCATTATATGTTGAGCATTTCCACATGTGGTTGGGTTTGTGTGGATTCTTTTGAGAATCCCCACAAAGCATCATATTAACAGTGATGTCTTTATCGGTAATAAAATAATCTTAATCACATGTAATCAAAACTTGGTCATTTTGGGGGTGTCTTCTTGAATTTCATATGGAGGACTTTTTTTAAATGAATGATTCAGGTAGAAAGATAATTTCATTGATTTTTATGAAGTTGCTAGTGGATATGAGGAAGGATTTTTCAAAGGAGACTGGAATGTCTGACAAAGTCTTACTGTCACCTTAGTATATTGATGCTCAAAGGCTATCCTGAGAATAGTTTAACTGAGGCATGAATACTAGAAAGGACTACAGGTAGTAGGTTAACATCATAGGCTGACGAGAAAGATCAACTTTCATAGCAAATACAGCTTTCTCTGAAATTGTCTATCAAATGTAGTTTCCTAACAAACTTTTATAGCCAAATTTATAATGAACTGTCCTTTGAATTATTAACAAAAATGTTTCAACATTATAGGAAACCTCTCAATATTTCTGTTAAATGATTTCATAAATCTAATGTTGTAATAGCAAGATATAGTATCACTATAGATTTGACCTATATTTTCTGGTAAACATAATGTCAATGCTTGCTAATCTTCTCTCTAGTTAGCCTTTTATCAGTAGCTTCTTAAATATTTACCAAGAAAAATGTGTGGAATCTGGTTTAAATTTTATTAAAGCTGAATCACAGTGAGTTGGACTTCTAATAATTTATTTTCATAATAGCTTCCAGATATTCTATGTATTATAATTCATATAGCTAATAGACTTCTAGATGTTTCTAGTTTTCTTTCTTTTATGAGCAAAGATCATTGCACATTAATTTTTTATATTACTAAATACATCTTTAGAATAGACTCCTACAGGTAGATTTGTAAAAGTAGCTTCTCACTTAGAGTTTAATGTATAATTAACATTGTGTGGATTGTAATAGACATCTTTTGAGGTATCTTGCCACCTACTCCCTTCTCTGAGAATTATTCCCCACTCACCTGTTGGCCCAATATTTTTTAGGTATTGAAATCCTCTGGATCTAGATAATTGAACCACAGTAATCTAGATAATTGAACCACAGTAAATCATGTGAACTAAACCAATCTACTAGATTTGCTTCCTTGGAAACTTAGAACCCAGAGAAACTGGTCTAGGTTGGTGATTGAATAGAAAACTTGTGAACCTAAGAGTTCTGTATTAATCATGCACAGAGAAACAAAGTTGTTTTATAGGAAGAGGCAAAAGCTTCATTACATAGGAAGAGTAAAAGCAGATAATCTAAGAAAAACAAAGCTCATATACAGAAGCATTCAGAAAAGAAATGCTTGTTTCTTCCTAGATTTCCAATTCCTGATTCTTGCCCCTGGTAGGATCCCACGATACTGTCTTCTCTTGGATGGTAAAATACTCCTCTATCATTACAACACATTGCTGCTTTTCTTAAGTAATTCAAATTAGCTTGACTGTTACCTGAAACAAAAGAACATTGCTAAATTTAAATTGATGCCACCAGTGAAACAACAACTAGTAGACTCTTAGAGAGAAAAAAAATATGTACATGATAAAGTCCAGTGGAAGTCAGAAGTCCACACACACTATCCTATTGCCAAGTAGAGTGTTTTACATGGTAATGAAGTTACTGATTAAGTTCTAACTTATTATGAGAGTACATATCCATAGAGGAATTGCAGTATTTGGTTGCCATATATGAAGATACCAGAACATACTAATTTTTGCAGCAGATACAAGATAGATTGTCCAACATAAAACTGAAAAAGAAGGGTTCACAGGGCTCATAAAATAGACCTTCATGTCCAGTAACTTTGCTAAGTCTCTGTTGTCTGTAGTTGTTCTCTTTCCACAACTAAGTGGGTGCACTGATTAAGAAAGAAAAAGATCTCCATAGGAATGGAGAGAATATGGAGTAACCAAGGTTAGAGGATACCCCAAGCCCCCTCCAGCCTCTCATCCCACTTATCAGATTCCGTGCAAATTATCTATTTCCACTGTTTCCCTCAGTGAGCTCAAAGCTCTCACTACAAGACTTGTTACTCCATCAAAAATGAAATACAACATGGAGTTGGAGGAAATATTGTCTTCCAATGTGTAGGCCCACTCTGTCTACCCATGATTTGAAGGTCTGGGTCCTTTTTTGTAGGGCCCAAGTCTGGGCCCATAAGTAATGGCAATGGGACATGAGTCCCACATCCAAGAGGGAAGCCTTGTTTCCGTAGCACATGAGTCAGTTTCCGAGTCCTGACTGTGTGGGGAAGGGAAAATGGATGGTGTAGACTGGTGGGCATTTCTTTAGGGTATGTGAGTCTCTGGGAGACTCCCATCTCCCTTCTCCAAGCTAACCACCCTATCAGTATCCATGCAAATACCCACTAGAGCCACTGCCACTTGAAAAAAGGGTGTGGCACACTGATCTGCGCCTTAATGAACTCTCCGCCCTCTGCTGCCTGTTCCTGGATTTTGAGGGTGATTCTAGGATTTGCTGGAAACACTGAATTTTGGGGAGATCTTTTCATTTACCCAGGTGAGATTTTTGAGATTTTTGTTGCCCATTTATTTAATCTTTTTTGTATTCCTAGAATTTTTCAACAAATAGAAATCGCCTAATTTTTCAGGACTATGATGAATTTTCTATATGTATATTTCTTATGACATTTCACTGGGAATTTGGAGAGAGAAAACTTAATGTATGTGTTCTTGCAGTAATCCTGAACCAGAAGTCACCTTTTCTATCTAATCTTTTATCTTATACTGACTCTTGCTGTTTTCTTCATTTCTTTTTATTATCAAGTGCTTTCTCTCTTATCTGGCCTTGTTTTATTGCAGTCTTTCTTTGTAAGTGGGTCAGTGCTTTCAAAATTTGTATGGCTTCTCATCACCTAGAAAATAAAACCTATCCTCTGACAAGTCATCTAAGGTCGTGTCTATTTGGTATCAGCCTGGCTTCCAATTTGCTATTTGTATGCTTGTTTTTCCAAATCAATTTTCAGTTCCTTTGAAATCAGGAACCGTTTCTCACTTTTTACTCCCCACCTCCACCCCCCTGCCATGCTCTGTGCATGGAAGGTGTGCAGGAAGATTGATTTCCTTCCCCTTCACTTCTGCCTATTAGGTAAAAATTTGCTTGAACAAATGAATAAATGACTGAATGATCCAATATATTTGCATTTACTTTTAATTGGTTTCAAAAATTAAGACAACCATCAAATATTAACTAATAGATTCACAACTCTAGATTTTAAAGTCAATAAGCAATTTGCAGTACATCCTGTATCCTATCATCAAAAAATATTTTTAAATCATTTTTTATTTTTATCTTTTACATCATTGTGCATTTTTCATAGTTCCCACCACCAGTTCACCTGTGAACCATCACCATGGTCACTTGTGTGCTTGATCCCTTTTCCTTCCCCTCCCTCACAGAATGTCTCTTATTTGTGGTTGACTACTAGTTTTGTTATTTTATTGTTGTTATATTCTTCCTAATTCCTTATTTGGTTCCCCTATATTCCTTCTATAAATAAAACCATTCAATATTTTTCTTTTTCCTTCTGGCTTACTTCACTGAGCATGATCCCTTCTAGCTTCATCCATGCTGGTGTGAGTGGCATTGTCTTTTTGATTGCTGAATAGTATTCCATTGTGTACATCAACCACATCTTCAAAATCCAGTCATCTATTTTTGGGCTTCTAGTTGTTTCAATGTCTTACTTATTGTGAATAGTGCTGCAGTAAACATCCAGGTACAGGTGTTTTTTAAGTTAATGTTTTTATGTCCTTTGGGTAGATTTCTAGGAGTGGAATTGCTAGGTCATTTGGTAGCTCATTTTGAAGCTATCAGTAAATATGCTAATTTTTTACACACATGTGTAAGTAGCTCTGTGTTAAAGTGATATTTTTGCCTTATGATATGTTTCATTGATTCTGGCAGGGTTTTATTATTACCAACTTTTTATTTTTCAAATTGTTAAGGTGTGCAATTTAAATGTATAGAGCAGCGAACCCTATAGCTTCCATTTACTCTGCTTTTCTATGACAGATTTTAATTGTGAGCTTGTAAAATTATTTCTGCGCTGTTGTTGTTCCTACTGCTATATTTGCCTATGTTGGTAGAAGAAAAGAAGACAGGAGTCTTAATATTTCATGAATGGAAAATACCCAAATAATGTACACTTTAATTACTATTTTTTTAAAGATTTATTTATTTATGCATACAGAGCTGGGGTACAGGCCAGAGGTGCAGGGGCAGTGAGAGGATTCACC